CGCCGAAGCATGGGAATTGCACAGTTTCGGACGAGGCATTGCAAATTCTCGTGACATTGAGCGAGCTAAAATCTCTGTATTCGGGAGGGTGAGGACGTTTATGGCCGATAGGGTAAGAGGGAAAGGTGGCGAAGAAAAGGAAAATTGGAGAGGGAGGGGGGCAAAGGGAGAGAAGGAGGCTGACAATAGAATCGGTAGTAGAGGTGGTGGGTGAAGAAAGGTGTTAGGGGGCTAGGGGAAGAGAAGAAATATGCAGAGAAGTATATACGGGGCGGGAGGGTTAAAAAAAGAGCAGAGATGAGAGTCTAAAGTTCATTATAGTTACAGAAGGAGACAAAGGCAAAGAGACGGAAGGGCAGCGGAGAGGAGGATATATGAACATAAGTTCTAACGATGGAGGAGAGGAAAATGAGGTGGAGAATTGTGGAGAAAGCAAAGGAGGAGAGGGCAAAAAGAAGAAAAGATAGAGCAACGAATAGGAGGAGCTGGGTGCAGGACAGGGAATAGAGGTGGGATGAGGAGAGGAAGGGCTGAGAGAAAGAGTAAGGCAAGAAGGAGGGCGGCGGGGAAGAATATAGAAAGGGGGAGGGGGAAGGAGAAGGAGCGAGGAAGGGAAGGAGGGAACAAGAGTGTAAGAGGTCGCAGTTTGATTAGTTTTATTATGCGAGGGAAAGGGCTCCTCCGCCTATTTGTGTACTGTTTATACACATGTACTATACACATGTGCATAAACAGTACACAAATAGGCGGGGAGGGGCTCCGCCGCAGGCCCCTTCCCCCGCATAATAAAACTAATCAAACTCCCAGCATGATACCTAACTGCAATCAAGACGCTTGGTTATTCCGCATGATTGACCAGTCATTCTGCAGAATTGACCAGTCAATACTAGGAATGCCGTGGGTTTTGACCATAATATATTTTATACATATATTTATTTAAAATTGAAAGAAAGCCAAGTAATGCATTATAAGTACATATATTTTTCAAATTCGCGCACTTTTTGCATGCGCGTGCAGCCACGGAGCTGTAACGGAGCACATACAGTTTTTTGCCTTTTTTATCGAAACCGTGATCTAACAAACATTTTAATTAGTTTATTCGGGATTAACAAACGGTTCCGCATTGATTAAACCCGTTTTGAAACAAAAACTGTAAAGAATCGGCTATATTAACACTAAAAATTATTTTCGTGTTTACATAAAACCTATTAACTAACAAATGTTTAAATTAGTTTAACAATTACTTACAAACAACTAACAAACCATTCGTAAAAAAAATGTTTTAAGTCGAAGTTGTCTGGCTAACTTCATTGAGGTGATGTTCTTTATAAGAATCTTTCTATACAGAACAGAAATGTTGTAAGAATTAACACTGTGTAGACATTACATTGTAACATTGTAATATTATGTGTAAGTTGCAAATTGTTTCTGCAATGTTGCTGCAAGATTGTGGTAACGTCAAGATATCGACCTTTAGAAACATTGCAATATAAACGGCAACGTTACAATGAAAGTATTAATACGTTGCCACAGATATGTCATTTACTAGATACATTTGACGAATAAAGGAGAGTTTACACACGCAATAATTTTAGTGGCGCCAACTGACTGGCATTCATTGGCGCCAGAAACCGACTGGCAAACTCACAAGTGTTTACACAGTGATTGGCGTATAATATGGAAAATATTTAACATTTATTAAACACACAGTAAATAACAGCAAGCATGCGCATGTGACTACGGGGCATGTTTATGTCGTCGATATGGCAGCATGACCTAAATAATCGTCAACTTTAAAGCTGGATTTAGACAGGACGCGTCAAGCGTCAAGCAGCGAGCAGCAACCAATCAGCGAGGCGATATTTTCTACGCCACTGCTGATATCACTTCGCTGATTGGGTTGCTACTCGCTGCTTGACGCTTGACACGTCCTGTTTAAATCCAGCTTAACGATTAATATCTCGCGAGGCAGAGGGCACTTTTTTGCCAGATTCTTTTGTTTCGTACAAAAACGCGTCGATTGAGCTTAATTTTATCAATATTTTAAGGTGAAGCCCCTAAACTGTATAATTACCAAATAATTTTTAGTGTTAATATATAAATTACTTCCTTTAGCACTAATACAAACTTGCATTATAAGTATATTATATACACGTTTTAAATTTGCGCACTTTTTGCATGCGCATGTGGCCACGGAGCTGTGACGGAGCACATACAGTTTTCGCCTTTTTTATCGAAACCGTGATCCAACAAACGTTTTAATTAGTTTATTCGGGACCAAAAAACGATTCCGCATCGATTAAACCCGTTTTAAAACAAAAACTGTAAAGAATTCTATATTTATTGGCTATGTTAACACTAAAAATTATTTTCGTGTTTACACAAAACCTATTAACTAACAAATGTTTAAATTAGTCTAACAATCACCTACAAACGACTAACAAACAATGCGTATAAAAAATGTTTTAAGTCAAATTTGTTCAGCTAACTTTATTGAGGTGGGAACATCAGACTAAGTAAGACTAACAAACTACTTGCAATGAATAAACAGAGATTAAGGGCCCGGACACATAGAAGAACTTAAGCAATAAGACGTGTAAGCAGTAGGGAAATCAACAGTTTAGTATCGTCTATAATGGCAGCAGGAATAGTAGATTAAGATTATAAGACGTCAGAGTAAGCTGGTTTTCCAGTGTAATAGGGCGTACAATAAGGCCGTAAGCGAAATAGTTGAGTAAAGGCCTTTACATATAAAAAATCCCGTAAAGACGTAAAACGTAAGCGTAAGAAAATCGACCAATCCCAATCGAGTATTTTCCCTTACTGGGAACTTACGCATAATAGTCGATTGGGATTGGTCAATTTTCTTACACTTACGTTTTACGTCTTACGGGATTTTATGTGTGAAAGCCTTAAACCGTAGGAAATGGGATTCAATCATTTTGCTTACGACCTTACTGTAAGCCCTATTACACCGGAAAACCAGCTTACTCTGACGTCTTATAATCTTAATACACTACTCCTGCTGCCATTGTAAACAACGCTTTTAAATTCGCTTACGTTATGCCTTAAGTTTTACTTTTGACTGTAATTGGGTTATGCCGGGATTACGATGAATTTAACGTAACGGAACGCGACGGACGCGAAGTAACGTAACGTGAACTTAAGAAATTACGATCGCCGTAACGTGAAGCAGCGTGCATTTGAAAAATGATTTGACAGCGTGGTGTGAATAGAAGATTTGTTGTCATTCTCGTTGGTAGTTCCTGCTTGGTAATTCCAAATGAATTCTGCTATGAGGCATTATTATCAGTATTTAAACTTAATTTTGGCCGGATATTTGTATCTTCAACTGCGGAAGAAGAAACGAGTACGAACCGTTGGTGTGAGAGATTTTTCGGAGAAGAACCCAGTTTGGTGATGGACATAATTTACTTGAAGAACTCCGTTTTCGTGATCTACATTTTTTTTTTATTTACACAAGGATGAATGTCCAAAGGTAAGATTTAATGATTGTCTAGTATAAAATATAATCATTTTTACAAATTAATGTCTGCTTTCCTACATTCTGGTACCTCTTGATCTTGCTTGGTCTACTGATAAAGAAGCGCTTAGATAAATATTTTTCTGGCACAGAGTTTATTTTTACAAATTATATGTTCGCTTTCTTAGATTCGAGTATCTCCTGAGCTTGGTTGGTCCACTGATAAAGAAGCGAGAAATGTACACTGCTCTTTCACCCACTCAGAGGCTTGCTATGACATTGAGGTAAGATCATCAATGTTCGCTTATCTTATTAATTAAGTCTCAGGAGTCGATTCAATTTGTAAATTTGCTTTGCAGATTCTTGGCAGCAGGAGACAGTCAGTATACTCTGAGCTTTTCCTATCGATGTGGCCAGAGCACTGTATCTCAGATCCTGGCCGAATGCTCTGGCCACATCGATAGGAAATGCTCAGAGTATACTGACTGTCTCCTGCTGCCAAGAATCTGCAAAGCAAATTTACAAATTGAATCGACTCCTGAGATTTAATTAATAAGATAAGCGAACATTGATGATCTTACCTCAATGTCATAGCAAGCCTCTGAGTGGGTGAAAGAGCAGTGTACATTTCTCGCTTCTTTATCAGTGGACCAACCAAGCCCAGGAGATACTCGAATCTAAGAAAGCGAACATATAATTTGTAAAAATAAACTCTGTGCCAGAAAAATATTTATCTAAGCGCTTTTTTATCAGTAGACCAAGCAAGATCAAAAGGTACCAGAATGTAGGAAAGCAGACATTAATTTGTAAAAATGATTATATTTTGTACTAGACAATCATTAAATCTTACCTTTCGACATTCATCCTTGTGTAAATAAAAAAAAGGGTGGATCACGGAAACGGAGTTCTTCAAGTAAATTATGTCCATCACCAAACTGGGTTCTTCTCCGAAAAATCTCTCTCACACCAACGGTTCGTACTCGTTTCTTCTTCCGCAGTTAAAGATACAAATATCCGGCCAAAATTAAGTTTAAATACTGATAATGCCTCATAGCAGAATTCATTTGGAATTACCAAGCAGGAACTACCAACGAGAATGACAACAAATCTTCTATTCACACCACGCTGTCAAATCATTTTTCAAATGCACGCTGCTTCACGTTACGGCGATCGTAATTTCTTAAGTTCACGTTACGTTACTTCGCGTCCGTCGCGTTCCGTTACGTTAAATTCATCGTAGGGCCAAAGCACATATGACAGTCGTAGTCGTGGACGTAAGTAACGCACAAGCTTTGGCGTATCCTGATCTGTCAGGTCGGGGTCTACGACCGTCGTATATCGCTACGCCATGTTATGTGCTTTGGCCCGTAATCCCGGCATTACTGCTTAAGTTTTACGGCTTAAGTTCTTCTATGTGCCCGGGCCCTGCGGGGTCTACAATGCGAGTCGCAAGTCGTAAGTCGTAAGAAATTAATCAATTACAGTCGAATTTGAGGAGAATAATCGACTGTGATTGGTCAATTTAAGACTTATGACTTGCATTGTAGACCCTACATAATATATTTAATCACAGACATAGGAAGATGTAGACCGAGTGTAAACCTGCAAAGCTACGGATAAGCGCGGTAAGAGCGGGTTAGGTGTAAATTTGGCTGTGGCGGTCAGCTGTCCGCCACGAACGTGCGACGGTGCGCGCGCGGCGCGGGCAGCAGCGCGGGCTTGCGCGGCAAGAGAGTTCGACTCGCGCCCGCTACGCGACGTATCACCAGTATCTTTTGCTCGTAATTAAAATTCGACATCAATTCTATAACTAGAGCCGCTCAGCAGGGTTTCTCCAGCGTTCTCAGGATCGCCAGTCAAGGGGTGCTCACTACCCGGGCCTCTGACATAATATAACCCTTTTGATTACGGAGTGTGCTTCTCTAAGGCTTCTTTTTTTCTTCTTTTATTTTATTGGCTCCTGCCTCTTTTCAGAAGACAATACGGCCAGCATTTGCCACTGTTTGTTTACAAAGTCTGGAACACTGTTAGCGTAGCGAGGTCTAAATGGAAATATTAGAAGTCTGTTGTGAGTGGGAACCGATGCAGACAGTAACAGTCGCAATACTTTCAAAAATTTTTCCTGTCGGACAAAACACGTCCGAACTGGTCCGCGCAAGTTCTGCGAATGCTTCTCTGAGGCCTTTATTCATACCTGCTTTGCAAGGCATTAACTTTCTGTTGTATAGACTCGACAGACACCCTGCCGCGGAAAGGTTTCCGGGGTTGTTACGACCCAGCCCGACGGGCAGTATCGAATTTGGTGGAGACCAAAGTGCTGCCTTTCCTGAGTCCAATCTTGATCCCGATTCCTGTACCTCAAGTAGCAAAGTGACGACATAATAACGTCTATTTTTAGTCATTTTTGGTCTATGACGTCGGCGACTAATAATGGACGTTTATAAGACGTCATTTCTTAGACCATCTAAAGACGTTATTTTAAAAATGTCTTAAAGTCGTCCAAATAAGGTCTTTTTGTAACATTACTATTTTTACTTCTTAATATTGTATAATAAAGTAATAATAAAATAAAAACCACAAAATTAACTACAATATGTTTGTTTCGCAACTTTATAATTGAAGTGGTGAATTTATGTTATAAGTGGATGTAGTTGCGTGTGATTATAGTTTTATAATAACTATTTCATGCAGTGTTATAGCTATCAAGAAGATATCATTACAAGATTTTTGAACACTTTAAAGATGTACCGTTATAGACAAGTACAGTTAATAAGGAAGCATCAGAGTTAGAATATCGTCACTGTCCACTGGATCATCGAAGTCAAGCAACACGGGCGCGATACTGTACTAGGATAAGTGACCGCTTTGAGAGAGCGGCTATACGCACACGATATGTAAAGAAACAGTTAAAAAAGCGTTTTTTTTTCTAGAATATAAAGAAAAAGAACGTTTTTTAAATAAACGTTTATCAAGTGGACATTTTAACATTTTAATTTCATAGAAAACATTTGTAGAAACCGGTATGTCGTACATTAGTTCTATTTTTGCCGTCAATAATACGTCAGAAAATGACGTCGTGTGGATGTGACATATCGACGTCATTTTCGGGTTTCACCTATTTAGGACGTCTGATTGGTCATTTTGTGACCAAAATTTACCGTCATTGTGACGTTATTTTGCTACTTGGGACATACCTAAGACCAAGACTAAAGGTCCGTTCCCGATCTCCAAGGTGGAGACTTTTACTGCCGTGGAAGCTACACCTCATAGACCTGCCGCCCCGAGTACTACGCATCCGGCTCCTACCCGATCCGACCAATCCGAGCACTCCTGGGATATCTGTCTGCGGCGATGCAGACTGACCACATCTTCTGGACGCCTCTTTGAGCTCGGCCTCCTTGAATCCGTTCAGGGGGTGGACACTTCTTTGTATAATCTCGGATCGTCGAATAGTTCCACCCAGTGCCACATAGGCTAGATGGCGCAAGCGTTATTACCAACACAATCAAAAGTAATCATGTAGGTGAGCGCGTCACGTGATTACTAATACAGTGTCTGCGGTCAACAAAGTCAAGCAAAGAAAGTTAACAGTCAACGTACGTTGTGTGCAATACTCCATCATCAGGTAATTATTTTGTCCGAAATTATTTTTGAAGCGTGTTACTCATGGTCCTAACGTAAATAGCATAAATAACTACAATACTTATTCTTAGAGAAGCATCCGAAAGATGTATAAGTAGAATATTTTTTAGATATCTTGTAAGATATATTTTAGACATTTACGTTGTAAAATATACCAATGTTTATAAATTTATTTTTGGTAAAATTTATCACAGGTAAATTTATAATCATTGGACTTACTTTGGTTTTTTATAACCTATTTTATTTATTATATCTATCTTATATGCTATTGTTGTCTTACATAATTATTAATATCTCTTTTAAATAAATAATTTGCTATTTCGATAGTTGCCAACAGTTTGTTATCTTGTAAGTATTAAATATAAGCATTATATTATTAAATATAAGCATTATTTCAGTTATTATGAGACAAGCATGTATTGTGCCAGGTTGTGCTTCAAATGCACGAACCCCGGCACACATATTCCCAAAGAATGTTAATCAACGTTTGTTATGGCTAAAAAAATTAAAAATAGAAAACATAGAACATGTTATAAGTCTTGCAAGGTGCAAACTACGTGTCTGCTATAAATATTTCTCTGATGACGATTACATTTATTCTGCCAAATGTATAGCAGCAAGTAATAATATTGATTCTCAGCAAGCCTTAATATCTGATTGCAACTTAGAATTTTGTCCAGATATTATTGCATTAGAACCACTGCAGTCAGCACATGAAAATCAAGACATTAGATATGCTACATACATACAAGAGGTAAAACACATTTTTTACTGTATATTCTTTCTTATTTCAATTTATTTATATTACTACATGAAGAACAATAAGTAAAATTGCAATGTTATTATAGCATGACATGAACAGTAATAGAAGTAATGAAGTAATGAACAGTAGTATAGAAGTAATGAACAGTAATGAAGTAATAGAAGAAACATTATTGTCTAATGCAATAATGGAACATGTGCAACATACTGAAGGCGAAACGAGAGACAAAGTTACAAACTTTGCATATAAAAGACATGAAAGGCAGGTACGAAAATAGTGAGATTTTTTATTTAATTTTTTAATCTTTTCTAATATTTTTTGGTATTAATATGTAAGAAGTATCATATTTTAGGATGAAGTGCTAGCTACCCCAAATCGAAGACAACAAGAAACTAATGTACGTTTGTTCAAACGAAGAACGTTACTACTAGATTGTAGAAGACAAGCTGATCTTACACCAAAAGCAGCCAAGTTGTATAAAATAGCAAGAAACCTTTTTAAAAGAAAAAGGTGCATAGAAGCACAAAATTCTAGTATGAGGAGGATTTTAAGAACGAGTAAACGTCTTCAGAGTACAAATTTTATTGAACAATACGAAGGACTTTCTAAAACACAAAGAATATTAATTCAGATGCAATTACGGACTGCCCAACAGCCATCCCACGTGAGTTGAAATATAAGTAGATTCTCAGTACTGTCAGTATTTGTCATAACATATCTTCTAATAGAGGAGTATTATCCAACAGATCGAACAAGCACATTTATCAGTATGTGCAGAACGTGCTGATCAGCCGTTCAACACGGACTACATGTTTGTGGTAGGCTTATTTTTTTTTTTTATGTGCATGCTATGGTATACAGGCTTATTTTTATTTTATATTTTTTCTACTATTTTTTAATAGGGAATTATTAACTATTTTGTACACGTACATAAGCTTTAAACGTTTAATGCATGGAGAGCTACTAATTATTGCGCTTAAATAGTTCACGGTTAATTTTTATTATTTTTAAAGCCTTCATACGTAATGTTGTGTTTTCAAAAGTATAAAATATTTTTTGACAAATAACTCCTTAATTATACAATGCAATATGAATGTACTTGTTTGCATGATGCACTAATAATGACTATCAATATTTAGTTTAAAATGCACGTCCACAAACTGTTATAATAATGTTGTTTTTAGGTCAGACGATATACCGTGGATGAAAAGATCCTAGCCATATCTCTTTTGCAGCGTTCCCCTAAATGTTATTCATTGATACAAAACTTATATAATATGCCTAGCTCGAAAACGTTGAAACGTCTACTACAGAAAGTTGTATTAAAGCCTGGCTTATGTAAAATTATTATAAGATATTTACATGAGAAAGCAAAAAAGATGCATAACAAGGACAAATATTGCATTCTCATGTGGGACGAAATTGCTTTAACACCACACATACAATATGACTCCAAAAATGATCTTATTACTGGCTTTGAAGACTGGGGGATGAGGAGAACTAATAAATTTGCAGATCACGTTCTAGTGTTCATGTTACGAGGCTTATACAGTGGCTGGAAAATGCCAATTTCATTTGGATATTGCGATAGCCAAACTAAAACACCTCAATTACTGCGTTGTATAAAGCAAATAATTACTGCTGTAAACAAAACTGAACTTGAAATTGTCGCCACTGTTTGCGATCAAGGATCCTCCAATGTGGCAGCAATCAATACATTGTTGAAAGATACTGCACGAAAATTGTGGAAACAGGGAACAGAACACCGTATGTATAGTTTTATAAGTACAAAATATTAAAAAGTAAGAAAATGTACTGAGAGTATTGAATGTGTATCTTGAAAGGATGAGGTAAACATTATGAAAATTAACAGATTTATTACATTTCAACAAATAAAATCGTAGATACTCTATTCTTCGCTTTTGTAAATGTCAACCTCGTTTCAAGATACACAATCGATCTTGTGAGCATTTTGTATGGTGATGTTGTATGGCGATGCAAATATATGTATATGTAAATATATATGTACATTGTTATAGGCCGTGCATTCGAAGTAGATGGTAAAGAAATTATACCATTTTTTGATCCTCCTCATCTAATTAAAGGTGTACGCAACAATTTGCTTAATAAAGATTTGGAAATTAATATTTCACGTACAAGTAAAAGCAGACAATTTGCTTCGTGGAAAACGATTGAATTAGCCTACAAAATTGATACCAATGTTAATAATTTTAATCGTATGTTATCGAAAATTACGGAAGAACATGTGGTTCCTGACAAAATTAAAAAAATGAGAGTGAAAAATGCTACACAAATATTTAGTAGCACCTTCTCAGCTTATATTGGGTTGTTTTCCCATATGCAAGGTAAACATTTTTCATATATGTAACTAAATACAATTAGTGATAAATGGAAACATACCATCTTGCATAAGGAAATGCTTCTCAATTTGTAATTAATACTTGACATACTTTTTCAGGGCATGTTGATACGCGAATAGGTCCTTTAAGTATACCTAAAGAAGAAGCAGTTACAATGAGCAAGACACTACAGTTTTTTAACGATTTATTTGACTCCGTAAACGGATACACAACAAAGCCGGAAGCACCTTTGCGCTCAGTGGTAAAAGAGAATAGTGTTCATCACGAATTTTGGAAGGATGCCATACGGCGTCTTAAGGCAATGAGATACGTACATCCTGTTTCGAAGAAACCATTGACAGGATCTTTATGTATACAAAATTGGATTAAAAGTATTGACGCTTTTCAAGATTTATGGACAGTATTGCAAGAAAAAGATTTTAAACAATTTAAGCCACGTTACGTCAACCAAGATCCTTTGGAAAATTTCTTTGGATGTATACGCTCGACAGGTGGCAGGGATATTAATCCCACTTGTACCAACTTCTGTGGAGCATACAAAGTGCTACTTATTAATAATTTATCATCGCGACATTCAATCGGACAAAATTGCGAGAATATTTGTGATGGCCATTTGTTATTCTCTTTAAAAGATTTTATTTCTGAAGCACATGAAGATGACGCCAAGTTTGATGAGGTCGAAGAAGATGAATGCGCTCACATCGTTGAAAGTTCCTCAGAAGAAATAAATGAAAACAGATGTAACTTACAAGATAGAAGTGTATATAATATATTAAAAAATAATTTGTTAATAAAAGCATCATTCAAGCACTGTGCTGCATGTAGAGCTACTATAACAGACAGTGCAATCTTGCAACAAATACTGAAAAGGGCAGAAACTTTGGTGAAGAAATATATTACCAGATTTTGCTTTAAGTCTAAAATTAAAAGTATTATTGAACGTGAAATGGAAAAACAATTCGATTTCACCTTTATAAAATGTCAGCAACATGATGCACAACTGAAAAATGCAATATTGTCTACTATTATTACTACCTGCCTTAAAAAATTTTGTACAGCAGTAAATAGATGTTTTAATAGCAAATATACATCTACAACGAAAAATCCTGTTCTCATATTCGCCCAAATAAAGTATCGATCAAGGATAAAAAAAAAACGTGAACCAAAATCAGGTATAATAACATATATAACATGTACATACATACTAATGTGCACACAACTATTTTTTTCATATTATAATTTATAATATTTATCATTTCATGCACAAATGTTTATTTGCAGTACAACAAAATGGAGATGCAGTACAGAAATAAAAATACTTTTTGCCAGAACAATTACAAATCAGAAATAAAGTACGATTTTGAACAAGGTAACGCACGAAGACTAAGTCACGGATTGGAGAACAGAACAAAAGCTGAATTCAGAAACGGCCGGATTAAGCGTATATTATATTAATGGATTATTTTATATAATGGAGCGTGTTTGTAATAGCCAAACCGGTGCTTAGGTAACAATTAAGATTCGTATATGTAGACGTTGCTGGCGCATACGGCTTTACATCGTACATTTAAAATTATTATATACTTTTGCTAAACTTGTATACACCAAATCTAATTTTATTTTAATAAAATACTGTAAATATATATTTACATGTTTATATATAAAAATATTTGCAGTCTTTTATTCTAAGAAATAATCATATCTTACTGTTGGGGATTCCCCCAATTTATTAATGTAAAATTGTATCCGTCCGTCAGATGTACTGCGATATACTTTTTGTTTGCTTCTCACGCAAAATTCTCGATTAGTTCGGCACCGCCGGAAGGAACCGATCCGCGCCGAAGGCGAGCGCGCGTCAGCATCCCCACGCGGCTCGCCCGACCGCCGGCCTCCCTTCCAACAAACCCGCCGCGCCGCGGTATATAAGCCGGCGCTCCGACAGGAGCCAGCACTTCGTCTTAGCTCCGACTCTCTGCTGCCTTCGACGAAGCCTACCCCATCCAATATCCCAGGGTACACGCAAAAGGAGGTCCGGTGTTTCGAGCCTCTACTGAGGGTTCTCAGAGTGTTCCCGAACTCCATCCAACTTACTCCCGACGGCCATGGTTCAGCGAGGTCGAGTGTACTCAGCCTCGTTACGAGGGTTTTCGTAGCCATCGCCCCGGGCGTCCGCACATACTGATCGCGTTTCCGCCCGCGTGCAAATGCAACATAACAGACCGCGCCGAAAGGAGTATAGAGTAGGATAAAACCGCGTTTCGGTAGAATCGCTCTTTATGTAACACCGCGCTTCAAACTCTACAAGTCACAGCGCGCCGAGTGCAATCGCACTAATTTATCTGTATACCTCGCGTTTCGTCAGTTTTGTTTCATTATATCGAATAAAGTTTATATGTATTATAAATCAATTGCTATCTTTTGGGCCTTCCACTCAACTTCCTAACAAGCGATCGAGTCCGCGTTCAACTGAAACCCCGGTCGTCTCATAGTTAAAGGGCTGAACAAAGCCACTCGCAATTATCTCGCGTTCTCGCGGAACGGATTCGGCGATTCGTTCGGCGCGTTTATTGCGCGCCCGAACACTTACAGATATATAACTATTGAAACAAGAAACAGAATTTTTTTTAACTTGAAATATATTAATTATTTTGCCACGATTAAAAGTTATGTAGTTTTATAGTTTTCATCAAATAAAGTCAAAAATGTGTTTGCAAAGTAAAATTCTCATTGTTTCTTGCTTCAATAATTATTTTTGTCCTTTATTTTTGAATAGAAAGTATAGAGCACTGGTGGCTACAACTATACATATATATATGTATATCTCGGTATATATATTGCGGTAGAATCGATATATGTCGCATCGATTTTAGTTCTGGATGTATGCTGCATAGCCCAGATGGCAGCACAACGATCCGAGAAAAATAGGAGTAGAGTGTCCACCCCCTGAATCCGTTTGAGTCTTCAACCTACCACACCAAAGGGGAAGCCGAGGACTCCTGGGCGAAATCTGTTCCTGCGGAAGGATCTGAGCGCGAAGAAGAGGTCCCTAATAAACGACCGTTAGGATTAACCGATTCGCCAATAGTTTACGGGAAAAGAAGGCCGTATGTAGATTTAGATTTAGCTTTATGTAATGTGTAGGCAACGCGCTGAGGATGACCCCAAAAAAGGGTTGAAACGTACGTATTGTAATTGACATTCTAATAGTGATTGACATTTTATTAAAATTTTAGCGAAAATAATCTACGCTTGGCTCTTATTGCCTAATTGAGTTTAATATTTCATATATTGAGCCTTTAGATATATTAATTCAAACAAGATATTTATTTAAGTAAAACGCGTCGAAGTACACTACATATGTCGCTACGGAGCATGCGCGTGCGGCCACGGAGCATGCGCATGTGGCCGCGGGGCATGTTTGTAGTCGCTACATCTTATCGGTATGACAGGTCTCATAACCTGATAGTCGTCAACTTTAACTGTTAATATTTCGCTTCGCGGGGCAGAGCGACACTTTTTTCTGCCAGATTCTTTCGTTTCACGCAAAAACGCATCGATTAAGCCTAAGCTCAACGAAATCGGTGAGGAAGCCACAATTCTGCATATTTACCGAAAGTGATAAATTTTTCAGAGCTGTAAAGAAGAAGAAGGAAGAAAGAAGAACTTTAAGCTAGGATAACCATAGTATAACCTAACCTCTCTTATTATCCAAATAATCTGTTATTATGTTTACGCGAGCGTAAACATAGTATGTATAATCCATACAATTACTTATTCCTAACTTAATATATTTGTATATATTTGCAGCAGTGCGCAGTATATTAAAATGGTGCGAAAATATTGCGTGCCTGGATATGCATCTGGAAAGAAAGCACCGTCGCATTAGTTTCCACGAAATTTCGAACGTCGTCTAGAATGGTACAAAGCTTTAAACATGAAACCAGTGGAAGGCTCTGATGAACTAAAGTTGAGAGTATGCTACAAGCACTTTCGCAACAGTGACTACAATTGCTCTCTAAAATTACGTGTCTTATTAAGTAATGCTGTCCCTGTCATCAATATGGCAGTTGAAAGGAATGTTACGGAAACTGAGTTAGAAATGTTACAAGAGACAAATATGGACATGACAAGGAATATAGAGATGTAGACATGAGACACATGTAGATATGATAGGGAACGCAGAAGAGGAAGATCCAATAGAAGTCAAGTTACATGAATTGAAAACACAACAGCAGAGGACTGAAGAAATTTTAACCGACCATAGTGACACATTAATGCTGCAGCAGAAATAGATAAAAAACATTTTACAAAACTAAGAAAATAATAAAGCATTAGCGCAAAAAATAACGGCCTTAAAACATACAGTGGATCAACTGGTGCAAGTAACTAAACAAAAGCATGCAAGACCCGATCTTCAAGATTGTACACGCAAAATTGCCTTGTCCCCAAGAGGTAGACAACTATATATTACTACGGTTAAATTAAAGAGAGATAAAAGGTATCTGAAGAGACTATGTAAAAAATATAAGCAGGAAAGCCGATCAAATACTATTACAATGCGCACTACAGATTATAAAGGCAGAGCAGATAATAGTGCAATGATATGTCAACAATTCATTGATATGATAATAAGAAATAATGATTTAGCGCCACAGGTAAACAAGTAAAACTACCCAAAAGAGAACAGTTATAGGGTGGTATTCATAATCAAATCTTATATTTAAGATCGTCTTAAGTACACACACACACACACGCACACGCACACGCACACGCATACAAACACGCCATATTGATTTTTAGTTCCTAACGTAGGGTGTCCCATGTCAGAGGGCACCACTAACGCTGGACATGCGAAGTACATGGGAGTTTGTAGGCCCTGGTGAAAACCTGAGCGCACCTATCCTTACCATACCCCCACATCGGCTATTTCCGTACAGTTCGGATATGTTTGGCGTTTTGGCCAAAGCATGATGGCGATGGGGGAACGTCTTTCTCGATAAATCAGGCGCTCAACTATGTGGAGCTGGAGGGGATGCGCTGGTATGCGCTCGGCAGCGTATTTCCTCCACATGCTGCCAACGCACACCAAAGCGAAGGCACATCCGTGTGCTGTTGAGCGTCCGAATATTTTCGAGTCCAACCGAAGTTTGTCGAGCTTACACTTTACTCCCATCCCGCGTTATTGTACCCCTCTTTGCCACAGTAGTACTTACGCTCGGTCTATATCTTCCTGTGTCTGTATTTAACTTTTAGACTGCCGGTATTTTTTTTATTAATTTTTTTTTATTAGTGTTTTTCTTTTCTCAAAAAATTATTTATCAAGAGACACGGTAGTGTCTCGCGCCAAGTACACGCGAAGCGAGACGCACCGTGACTCTTTTATGCGACGCGACGAGTTGTAAGTACCCGAGATTCTGAAATCTTGATAATGACTAAACGGATCGAGTTCTGAGTAGGCTCAATTGATAGCTTGGGGTCGATTTATACATTAAGTGTTTTTATTTTTTTTCTACGTGCCCTACGAACGGAGATATTACGATGCAAAGTCCAAAATGTAAATATTTTTTATTAAGATACGTCGTTATCGTCGTCGCCGTGTCACTTTCACTTTTTTGACACTATGCGGCGCTAATATCGCTTTTAATGATAAACCGTGCGCGCGTTATTATCGACCTAGCAGGTAAATCAGGTCGATCGATATATGTACTTTTTTATTACTTCTTCTCCGCGTGTGCAGCGACATTTTTATTGACCTAGCAGGTATATTATCAACCCAGCGAGTAAATCCATTCGAGTCGATATATCGATATATGTACGTGTGCGTACTGCACTCAGTGCAGTCAGTACGTTCAGCGCGATGTCAGTCAGTTATAATCTAGAAATAGTGACGATCGTGACCGTCGCCGCGTGATAGATAGTGAAATATATATTGACGGCAGGGAGCTGATACCGAGGAGATCAAGAAGCCAGGGGCCATATTCTGTTCCGCTAAAATCCGCTTACCGACAATTGTCGGTGTCGTTGCGCAGGTTTTACACGATATGAAAAACCTGCGCAACGACACTTATCGAACCGACAGTTGTCGGTAGGCAGGAACGGAATACGGGTCCAGTTCATATGAGGCGTTTCTGCCGCGCGATTGCAGCCGCGCGTTAACGTTTGCACGAGCCGCGTGCTGTCGCGAAGCAAGGTGCGACAACGCGCGCATACGCGCGTACGTGAAACGGCGAGTGTCCTATGGGTCTAAAATGCCGCAAAGCGTATCGTAGACGCTCGTCGTCACGCGTACGCCGTTTTGCGTACGCACGTATGCGCGTGTTGTCGTACCTCGCCTCGCGATAACGCGCGGTCACGCGCGGCAGCGCAACCGTGCGTCAAAACCGCCTCGTGTGAACAGACTCTAAGAAGGAAGGTGTATTCAAAATTGCACACGTACATACGTACATGCTGTCTTGTATAAGTTGCTAAAATTAAAGAGGACGAAAAAGTGATCTGTATCTATGCACGTTTGACAGGCGCTTTTTTTGCTTCCTCATAGAGGAAGCTTTGTTTTCGTAAACTTCGTATATGAACCTTTGATTGGGTATAAAGTTGAGTCTAATCAACCAAATTTAAATGAATTATATATGAAATAGGGGTAGAAGAAACAAAAAAAAGATTATTTTTTGAGTTTTTGATGCTAATATGTTCAGAGTGTTTCAAAACGTCGAAAAATTGCATTACAAAAAATGTCCGTATGTGTGTGTGTGTGTGTGTGTGTGTGTGTGTGTGTGTGTGTGTGT